AATCTGGAGGGTCAGTTGCTGTCTCTCTCTTGAATAAAGTATAAGTAAGTAACTGAGCATATTAATTTAGCCTGAGATGCTGACATCATAGTCCCTGGCTTTGTAAAGTTCCAAAGGAGATGCAAATGCAAGTCTATTCTCTGCTCTTGGGAAACAGCTTTCAGGAAAAAATGGTGGTTTGATGAACTGGCATTTACTCCTTAAGAGCTATTTAGCTCAAACTTTTCCATCTGGTATTGTTCAACCTTTAAGTGTGTTTTTAGCAGCGAGCAACATTTTAGCAGTGAGCAGAATTTGGTAGTATTTGTTAAAATTCAGTTGTAAACCCAGAAAAGGCAGTTTCTATCGCTCCAGTAATTTCAGTTGTCTGAACCTATTTCCTTTGACAGATGCTGCTTCATTCAGAAACTTAAGCTAATGACTTACCCGGCATAACAGCTGTGCCAGCCTGTGCTGTGAATGAAACAAAATGTTATTTTAGAGGCTAGAAAGAATGAAAAACAATCTCTCCCACTTCTTTCCACCAAAACCAACTCCAAAATCTTGTAATTATGTGTAAATTTCTAAATGTTTAAAGAAAAACTCAGTCAAAGGAGTTAATTTAGTACTGCAACACAGCAAATGTCATGAGCAGGCAGAAAGCACTCCCTACTTTTTAGTAAAAACATTACTTCTCCACAGGCAGGTGGTTTGCTCTGTAAGGGGCTGGGACAACCTGTTCTCCGACTTCTCTGCGCTGTCATGTTGTAAACTGTGCTACTGGGAACTCAGTAAGATTTACTCACCTGCTTCCTTCCACCTTTTCCTAGTCTTCTACTCTTTCTACATCTGAAGCTATGGAGCTATGGTGTCTGAAGAAGTGGCAGTCACAGCACGAGTGAAGCCATCTCTGCATGAGAGACTCTGCTACACACAGGTACCTGGGAGCAAACACTAACCCCGCAAAGCAGCTGACTCGTACTAGGTCTGAATTTGGTGATGGTGGGATGCTGCAATTATCAGAGATAGGAGGAACCACACTGAAAATGGTATTTCCAATTTTTTTCCAGCTGAAAAGTTTTTAATCTGGTTATAACACAGTCTTGATTTGTTCACCAAGAATTTTGTGAAACTGTTGCATCCTAGATCAAGTAAGTGATGCAGGAAATCTATCTCTAACGGTTAAAAATATTAAGTAAATTTAATAAGAAATGTACATACCTTCAGCTGTCACCACGGGCAGGTAAGAAGTAAAAGGAAGAAAAAGAGAAATTCACAGTTTCAGTTGTATGGTTAAACAGAAAGGATTCTCTCCCTGTTAAAACACATTCTAAGAAAACGAATTAAAAACTGTTTGACAATTCAACCAGGTATCTTCAGTATTTTACAATTCCATTTTTTCCCAGTGATGCAACTCAGTATTTGTAGATCAAACAGAAACATGCTAAAAGTAAAAAGCTGTTATGTGGGGCAGCAAAACTGCAATTAATTATGCATATGACAAGAGAACTGTCAGTAATTGTTTTATTGTTATTCTGTTTTCACGTTGCCAAATGTTCCTTATTGGTTTTACTCCCTTGCAGTTTTCAAGGCATTTGCATCGTTCTGTTAACACTGACTGGATGGTTCAGGAATCCTATTTGTGAATCCAGATTCTAGGGTGTGTACAAATTATGTTCTTACAGAGCAGCAGTGTTTTGAGTATTTTCTGCTATTACAGCTCTATACTTTCTATATACAAAGAGGATTTACTTGGAAAGAGGTTCAGAAAAGGGCCTTTGTACTACAAGTACCTGGAAAGGGAAAGCAAAGAGCTGAAGATCACTCTGAGTGGATGCTACTTCTGTCAGATGTTTACGTAAGTTTTTCCAGCTTATGGAGTCCAGCTGTAAACTTTAAAGTCATCGTGCTGAATAGTGACTTGAATGTTAAATTAAGAATGAAGTGGTTTTATGTCAGTGTCATTATGACGGTTACAAAAAACAATGCAAAAATTTTATCAGCAGAATACCTGAAGAATTATTCAGAATTGAAGGCACTTAGCAATTAATTAGTCCTGTTGAAGGAAAAAGCCACTAACCTCCAGTAAGCATCTCTGTTATGCTCAAATGTCTTAAGTTACTGTGCCAAATTCAGGAGATAAAGTTTTTCATCTAGAAGCCAGCAGAGAGCCCGCACAGAGCCTGGGAGGAACTTTTAGGGACACTAAGCAAAAGTTTGGGGAAAAAATAATGAATGCTTATAGAAGAGATTGAAAAGCCCTACAGGAGGTTTGTCAGACCTGTTGAAGGAGGGAGAGATGAGGATGGCCTGAGCAACACAGACAGATGAGGATAGGGTGGCTTTGGGGTACATTTTTCTTCTGGCTTTGTTACCACCATGGATGTCAGTGGTGTTACAAACTTGTATTTTAGTGAGAGATCCAGGGCCTCGGCTGTAAGATTCTCCTTTTCTTCTCCAGTAGCTGCAATACTGAATACAGGTAGAGACTTCCTGGCATCACTGATTGCTAAATTACTCACTGAGCTCTGGATTAAATATTTTTCTCTAAAGTGAAGTCATTTCTCTGCAGCTAATTTACCAATAAGGAATATTTGTTACAGTCTAAGAGCACTTCTGAGTCCACTGGCTATCTAAGAAAAAGGCAAAACTGTGCTTTATATTTGCAATAATTTAAAGTTGTTTAATTTGCAACCTGAAATGGGAATTCTGAGGTTGGGGAGGAGAATATGTTGGGGGATTTTCCTTACTGTTTTTTACGCTTTCCCATTGACATTTCAGTGTGATGTGAATTTGAGCTTCACATCCTAGAAGTTGCACCAGTC